AATACAGTACTGTAATTTTATACATTTCTTGTGAAAGAAACATTTCTTATTCAACGGCAATAAAAATTATTTATATTAATGATGTCTCCGAAGTTCAACAAAGTTTTTGCAGAAAAATAAGTTATCAGAAATTGGTCGTGGTTTGGTGTGCTGCTTCGCGACAAAAACAAGCTTTAGCAATGGCGATGTCGAATGGAGCACACTCGGTAAGTAATCCTACAATTTTTTGTTTATAGCATAGTTTATACGGATTATTTCCAAAAAAAATATACGTATTTTGAAAATTTTGAGTCGGATTAATCTAGAATCGATTAATTTTATGGAAGAAAACCTTTCAATCAGTCGTAGTCCGTAAACTTCACATGTGTCGGGCTGTGATTGGAAGGACTCATAAGAAATCAGATTCCTAAAGAATGGAACGTATCTATGATCATATAGGGGAGTCGACTGTATATATAAAGGTTTTTAATTTCTTCAAAAAAATAATGATTCGACAAATGAAATAAACCATGATGTGTTGCTCTGTAAACAAAGTTTTTTTATTTTATTAGTTTTAAAGTTACATTACCGAAATAACACTTCTGAAATGTAATAGATATTCTCACCTGTAAACAAAGAAACGACATTTAAAGTTTATTCCTCACTATATCAATTCCTTTTTATTATTTATCTTTTCCCGCTTCACCATGTATCGATTACGCCATATTGTTTTTTCTTATGTCTCATGTCGATGACAGCACGACACGTGGATAAAGTTGTTTTTTAATTGAAAGAGAGATTTTTCTCTTTATATATATATATATGTGTGTGTGTGTGTGCTTTTTTTAATTTTCTTGAATATTGTCCTAACTTCTTTCAATAAGTTTGGTGTTATGTTGTTTTAGTGTATTGTATCAACCTGCCTAATGTCTAATGTTATTTATTTGTATTTCTAATCTTCTTTGCTAGGCAGGCTTATGATTTATAGTCGATCCCCGTATAATTACGGTCCCTATAATTACGATTCCTATAAAACTACGAAAAAATTGCTACCGGTATCCGTAAAAAATAGTAAAAGTTCCCTATAAACACCTCAAACGTCATCGGGAAGCCGAACTACTTTCCCGCCGTCCGTAGCGCCACGCTACGGAGAGATTTCTATCGTCTGGACAGTATTATATAAATTATATATAAATTAGGTACTGTACATATAATTATATATTAATTATATATAAATTAGGTACTGTATATATAATTATATATTAACTTATTGTAACTTTGTTATAATTAAATATATAATTTCCGCCGTCTAGCGTGGCGCCACGCTACGGAGATTTTTACGCTAACTATCGTCTGTCAGTATGTAAATTAGGTACCGTAAGTCTAATACAGTACTGTAATTTTATACATTTCTTGTGAAAGAAACATTTCTTATTCAACGGCGATTAAAATTATTTATATTAATGATGTCTACGAAGTTTTCACAGAAAAATAAGTTGTTAGAAATCGGCCGCTCTTTGCTGAGCTGTTCCGCGACAAAAACAATGTTGAGCAATGGCAATGTCGAATGGTGACACTCGGTAAGTAATCCTACAATTTTTTGTTTATAGCGTAGTTTATATGGATTATTTCCAAAAAATATATACGTGTTTTGGAAATGTTGAGTCGGATTAGTCTAGAATCGATTAATTTTATGGAAGAAAATCTTTCAAACAGCCATAGTCCGTAAACTTGATACGTGTCGGGTTGTGATTGGAAGGATTCGTAAGAAATCGGATTCCTACAGAATGGAACGTATCTCTATCTTATAGGGGGGGGCGACTGTATTTATGTTTAGAAAGTGTCTATTTGTGATTACAATTTAAGACCATGATATATAACTATTATAAAGACCAGAACAACTAATTTACATATTATTTAACATATTTTTTTTTTACATAAACAAAACCAGTTGCAAATCATACATTAATGCTTATCATACACCAGAAATCAAATATTCAAAACATTTAACACATTTTAGTTATCACTAAAACTCTATAATTAAAAATTACAATTACAGCTGTCCCTTGATAATCCGACAGGTATGGGACCAAAGGGGTGTCGGATTACCAAAAGTGTCCGAATTACTGAAAGTGATTACATATTTGGCATTGTTTTGCTAGCAGTAGCCTACAATATTCCCTACTCCAACTGTTTAAACAGAACTGCTCACGAAAAATACATGAAATGTGAGTCATCGTGTAAGAATTGGGTGGGGAGATTCATGTCGCAACATGCTTCTGTGCAAGCAGACACGTAACGGGGACGGGTACCTTGACAGGAGGCGCATTGGACTACTGAGCATGTCGGATTACAAAACGTCAGACTATCAAGGGACAGCTGTATTATGAAAAATTAACTAAAATGCATTTGAAACTTGAGTTCCCTCTTCAGTTAAAATATTGTTACAGGTAAAAACCAATAAAATTTTGTAGAAACTACAGCAACACATTGGTGTAGTGAACTTAATCCAATTTTAACAGAAAAAAATTATATTTCTTGAGACTATACATACAAGATGAGTCAATTTCTTTCAGTCCCTTCACATGCTGTTAAAGTAATAACAATTCCATGGCAGAGTCGACCTTTTATTGTAGGCTACTCGTCCACCATACAATGCAAAAAAGTTAAAATAGTCAAAATAGTCCTCTAGCGGTGGTACAAAGATAAAATTAATAAATACATTTTTTTAAAATTGTCAGGACAAATTTACTTTAACAGAAAAAATTATAGCCTACAATAAAAAGTCAACTCTGCCATAGAATTGTTATTACCTCAACAGCATGTGAAGGGACTGAAAGAAATTGACTCATCTTGTATGTATAGTCTCAAGAAATATAATTTTTTCTGTTATTCATCCCGGCAATTTTTTTTAAATGAACTTAATCCATTTTAAATTATATTTGATATATTTTCTTTTCATTTGTTTCAAATGTCATTGTTTCTACTGAATTCAAATTCACTTGAAAAAATGACTTATGTTCCATAAACAGCTGAAGCTGTACTAAAACAGGATGAAAATATTCCTTTATGAAAAAATTTAAACGGTAGACCACTTGAAATTAAGTATTTAATACAGATAGTATAAATGATAACTATATGAGTTTTCACTAGAAATCGAGCAGGCAACATAGAGGTGCATTACCAAGATCACAACATCTGTTTTGTCAGTATCCAGATCCAAACTAAAATGTAGTCTAAACTGGATTTTTGTCCCATTTACATCCCCAGTGGACTTCTATGACCCACATTATAAATTGGCACCTTTTAGACTCCTCATTAGGAGGGCATATATGCATTGTACCAACATGACAAACACAGAGGTGGAATTGGTCCACATTGAGAGGCTTGCTCAGGTGCATGGGTTTCCCAAAAACTTAATCAGGAGGTTAGCTAGCAAGTTTAGTTCACAGATTAATACACATGACATCATAAATGATAATACAGTAGAACCTCGAAAATTCGGCCTAATGTGGACCGAAGGGTGGCCGAGTTTGTGAAAATGCCAGGTTATCGGGAATGGGGTTAAAAAAAATAAGTACGAGTGTTTCCTCAGAAAATACTGTATTGTACTTGTATGTATTGTTTACTTGAAAATATAACAGAGAATAAACTGCCCAAATACCCTTAAACAAAGGAAAAGTATGTCCTTTATGAAGGCATAGAGCCTTTACTACATGAAAATGAAAATTAATGAAAATTAATGTGTACAGTAATTTACCTGATAAGACAGAGTTCAGAAAAATACTTTATGAGAGCTTTTATACTTTTATAAAGCTGTCTATAATGAAAATTAATTAACTAAGGATTTTTTTTGCCCTGCCAGGGTGTGGCCGAGTTATCCGGAGTGCCGGGTTATCGAGAGCCGAGTTTTTGAGGTTCTACTGTACCAGAAACAGCCAGGAACTGATGAGCAAAAACCATATAACATGATCATAACATAAATGATATGTTTAAACAGATAGAGAAGAGTAAGGACACCCGCATCACTTATAAAGAAACCTGACTATTTTCACAATGCTTAGAAATAAGAAAGACCCCTTAACATCCAAAGAGCCCATGGAGTGTATATGATATTACTATACAATGATAGGTTCAATAAGGATTTAGTCTACACAGGCTCCACCAAACAGTCCTAATGAACAGGGTGAACAAACACTGCCCTTTCCAAATAAAACTTGAATAACAATGTTGAGGCTTTGTTATAGCAAGAAATTCTGATAACAGCTGTACAAAATGAATACACTATAGATCTGGAAGCCTTGGAAATTTTAAGGCTAACCAAAATTTAGCCAACTTAGAGCATCTGGATTTGTAAAATTACAAAATTTTAAGGCTGACCCAAAAAGAGTAACTTTTGGTCAATCTTATAAACTAACAACAACAAAAATGAGAAGCAAGTGTCCCAAACCTGGCAAATGATACATGATTCAACATTGTAATTTAATGTTTATCCAATCAAATAACACACTTGCTGGCTACATGTTGGTTTTTTAAGTTTTGAATTCTGCCTTGTTCTTCTTTAAATGTTCCGTTTTATAATGACTTCTATCTAATAACAAGTCTTAGATGTAGACTGAAAAATGTTTGTAAAACTTTTGAAACAGTTTATGTGGTGATCTGAATTAAATTTACATTCCAAACATGAAAAAAATTGATACATTTTTTAGTCACTCATGCATATTTCACTACACATACATTTAGTCCTGCATTTTATAAAATTAAACAAAAAAATTCTATTTAAATGCATGAGTAACAGTAAAGATCACAAAAGTTATAGAAAACAAAATAATAATTCAGAATTCAAAAGATTTAAGTATCTATAAGTAAAACTGATTAAATTTTTCATGACTAATAAAATAAATTACATAAATCATATTGAATATAAAGAAAATACTTACTGGGTTATAAGTTGCTGACGTTCACGGTCAACACGTATCAAGTTTGGATACGTTCCAGCACAAAGGGCAGCTTTGACAACAGCCCAATTTTCAGAGTTAGAATTTAAATCCCTTATATCTCCTCCTCCTCTTGCTCTTACAAATCCAGATGCTCTAAGTTGGCCTAAAAGTTGAGTTCTCATTCCTACAATAATTTCCATGGTTGGTGCAGAAAGAAAATTTTTTTCACAAAATGTTTTTTCATATCCATCACTTCTTCCTTTTTGCCATGCCTACATGATCAATAAAAAAATAATTATCAAATTATTATTCTAATACTTCTTTAATTACTCATCATCATATTATCTCTAAACTTTTTTAATATAACAGTTTTCAAAACAGAGTGCAAAAACTAAGAAATAAAGAATAAAACAGAAGTACAAATTCAAAAAATATACTTTAGAACTAAGATTTGAATAAAAAATCTAAATATTTCGCTAAATAAAAATTTCCTTATTTAAGAAAACAAAATACAGTGGGTGATCGGTTAACAAACAGATCGGATAACGAACACTTTCGCGAAAGATTTTTATGTTCGGACAACGAACACATGATCGGATAATAAACACCGCACAGAACGAACACAAGAAGAAGCGACGTAAAATAATGAATACCGATTGGTCTTCTCTTGTCTTCAGGCAACAATTCGAAACTTTTCGGAGTGTAGAAGACGTCGATATCGACGCTCAAGCCGGTATATACCAATCGGATAGTATTCCTCCGAACTTTGAAACTCTCCCTTGTAATTCCAGCCTTTTATTTTTCTGACAAAACAATTCTTTTATGTATTCGCGAGACTGTCGGGTAAGCGTCTGTTTTTTTTTCTTTTCAAAAGGTGAGAGTATAATAGCAAAGGTAGAAAGTGGGCAGAAGATGCCTAATGTTGCTGGGCAGTATGGCGTGAATAGGTCTACAGTAGGCCGTAGTTCAATCTTATTTAGGAAAAATACTGTATAATCAGGAAGACTCAAGTAGCTAAAGGAGTAACAAAAGTCACATCTGAGAAATAAAGAAAATCGAAGAGTTCATAATGGAACCTGAAACAGATCTGATGACAAAAGAACGTCAAAAACTCTTGAATGAAGAACATCAAGAAACTCGGCGAGATATGTTTTCTTCTGAAAAAAGAAGATTAATGCCGATATTTGCTATTAAAGATCTTTTGAAGAAGTGGGAAGATGTCAGAACAACGGTCTTTGAATGGCATCCAAACTAGGTTGAGGCTTGGGGATTTCTACAATTGCAATCCTATTAATTACTTACGTAAAATCCTGAAAAAGAGAGAAAAGCAATCGACATTAGACAGATTCTTTAACCCTTTCAAACGGAAAAAAACATGACTAATAAAAACGCAAGACTGTGCATGTATGTATTTTTATTATTACGTATAAATAAACGTAGTAAGAAAGTATATATATTTTTTTATTTTTGGCGGTCTTCACAACGAATTAATTAAATTCCCATTAAAACCTATGGTAAATCGATAATCGGTTAACGAACAATTCGGATAGCGAACAAAGTCTTGGAACGGATTATGTTCGTTAACCGATCACCCACTGTACTATCTTTCTGTATTTTACAATTTTCCAAGTAAACTTTGAAATAAAAACTAAAATGTTTAAACAGAAGTTACAAAACATTTAAAATTTATATGATATGTCTACATTCATGGCATATATTGATACGCAAATTATGGTGAAATTAGCAAATTCATATCTCAGGTGATGGCATCATTCTGTTGTCACTGGATGCCACTTTGTTTGATATGAAAACGTAAACCATAGAATAATGTACCTTCATGGTACAGGGGTATTTTTTTAAATAAAAATCCTTTTCATAACTGCACCAGCATTAACCACAAACAATAAGATGTTGCTATGCATTTCCTTGGAATCTCAATCACATTAAAGAAATGAAGCATCACCACAGATATTTAAAGGAAGCTGACATACAACCAAAAATTTATATTGTGGGTCTCACCTGATATGGCAAGCTATAAAATAGAGGCTTTCAGGGCTCTTATAAAACATTTGTATACTCATTGCACTAATGTACTGTACAAGACAGGATAAGAGAGCTAGAATACATCAGAAATTGTGCATTGATTTGGGATCAAGCATAAAATGATAAGGATCAACAAATGATCAACAACAAATGGAAAACAGAAGACAGATGAGAAGACATAACAAGCAGAATGAATATGCAGTTGTGGAATACATGGCACCCCTCTGCAATGTCTATAGAGATACTGGATTACTGCTACAAGAAAATTATATTTAAGAGAAATTTCACTATATACAGGATAATAAGGAATGGCAAAGAGGCTGTTAACCCAATATGCATCCCTTGGGTATATAGAATATCAGTAAAAGACAGAAGAAGGCATAATAACTTACGTTACATAGAAACCAGGATAAAAGAACATAAAGATAACATCCAGAATGAATAGTCAGTTACAGTCTTAGCACCCTATGCAGTAGCAGACCCAGATTCCATAATAGTAAAATAGAATCAACCAGAAACAATCTAGAAGGTTCAGGAAAAGCAATACAGTATATTAAACTTGAGGAAGCATTGCACATTCATAAGGCTAGAGAGAGAGAAAGGGATGCCAGGTAGCAAATTATAGATAAAAAATTAATTTCAGCAACCTAAAAAGTATTGCTGGATAAAAACCTAACAGTAAGGTAATCAAGATTCAGTAGTATGAACAGTGTTTAGATTACACAGTAGTGATTAGTTTGCCAGTATGGAGATTCTAAGTACTGGAGTACTGTGATTGAATACAATATATCCAGCATTTAGCTATCAAGTATTACTGGAGTAAAATTTATTTGGTATAACAGAAAATTCACATCTTCCTCACACTTTCTAGCAATAACTGTTTAATACAGTTACTGCTAGAAAGTGTGAGGAAGATGTGAATTTTCTTTAAATAAAAATTAAAATTTGGCCAACAGTATTTACATTTTAAAAAAATATAAAAATATCACAAATATACAAAAATCCTTGTTTTTGTTTTCCTCTTCTGTTGTTTCAACACACCAGTAACAGTACAAAACAATTTTCATATATAGAGCCACCAATAAATAGTTGCCTCCCTATATAAAAATTGTTTTGGACTGTCACTGGTGCATTGAAACAATGGAAGAGGAAAACAAAAACAAGGAGTTTTGTATATTAATAATATTTTTATATTATATAAAATGTAAATTTTATATTTTTGGATGTAGTATTGTACTACTAGATCCACTAGCTAATGTGGCATATACCATGTTGTTTTTTGAAGTGAAAATGCATGAGTTGGCCTGCCACTTCATCCTTTGGTGAATGAGCAGTCCCATCCACCATATTTCTTAGAAAAAGCACTTGCTAGAAAAATTGCTGTGCTTGTCCCTAGCTCCAATCTTGTCATGTCTTCCACTCTTGAAGCAAAGTCCATTATAACTGGTGGTATTGGGGATATACCTTCTAATTCATATCTTTTTTCCAAATAGATATGATTTCTTTATACTCATCAGTGCCCCCCATTCTGAAGAAGTCATACTTGCAAACACCTTACTGATTATTAAAAACTAATTATTAAAACCTGGTTGTTCCATACCATAAGTACTGGGATTGAGAGAGGTTCTTTTACTGATTACAGAAAACAATTATTTTTGTTTCAACGATAACATTTATTTACAAAAGCAGAAAGTTCCTGTGGACTCGTCTTTCTTGACTACTTTGGCTGAATCGGTCATGAGAACTATAGAGTTCAAAATTTTTCAATCATACATAATCCTCTTCTCCATTTGTGTTACGTCAACAATGTGCTACTGGCATGGGAAAGCTCTGATGAAGAGCTATTAGTTTCTATACAGTCTGTGTTAGCCTATTTCATTTACTAAAGAGGATACGAATCCAAGAAAAAACAAAAATTTCTTTCTTGAATCTACTTGGACACAAGATCCTCCAATGGAATTTTCTTTTGTGTTTCACAAATTTGGTGAGCTGCTGCACATCATCCCTTCCACCATTTTCCAACTCACCAGGTACAAAAATTTACAGTACTTATACACAGCTTTCTTATATCCTTCCACCCATCTGCTTGTAGATGAAAAACTTTCCCTTGTTAAATTGGCTGTTTGCAGCATTGGATATTCTTTGGCCAAATTTAACCATCTAGTCAACAGTGTCAGGCACGTTATTTCTGCAATCCACTTTGTATCGTAGAAAGAAACCCAATCATTCTGTACCTGATCATTGAGTCCACCTTCCATATGAATATATTCCATATGAAAAGAGATGCAATTGTTATTGATGCAACTTCCATACAGTTTAGCTTTATATATTTTTATAGTCACAACTATTCATAATTTTTCGCTGTGGCCATCAGCTGTAGGGTTATATGTATTGTGAGATCTGCTGGGACGTGGAACTAAGTTCACGCCGCTTACTGGCCTATTCCGTGAGAATAGTCTCTGTGTTTCGGATCTTGTGATCCGATCCTAATCAGGATTTTGACCGGGAGGGCTTTTTAATATTAAAGAGGATATAGACGGCAAAGTCTTTATCCAACGTCAGGATTCCTGGACACCAGTTTATCTACTTTGCGTAACGCGGATAAACACGCGTGAAATTTATGCCGTCGATCTGATTCAGTGATTCAACAAGAGACATCTCTTAACAAAATATATATANGATCTGATTCAGTGATTCAACAAGAGACATCTCTTAACAAAATATATATATAATTTAATAAACCATTATCAATATTAATACAGAATAAGAAATAATCAGTATATTCAAACGGTCAATCAAAGAACGAATAATCATATCAATTGTGACAGGAGGAAATCTATTCTTAGTCTACACAGAGTCGAGAGAGAGTAGTATTCTCACTCTATACATTTACGAGAGAGAGAGAGCTCACAATTTAGTCTTAAACATACAACCTGTTTACTTGGCAATGTCGTCTTCTTATTTGGCAAAGGTACTTCATTGATAACTTAGGAGTAACTTGTTCAGGGATGACGAGGCGTTAGTCTGCTGGCATATTGGTGTGGAGTCCTTTCACTCTCCGATCTACAGATGAACTCTTAAGGGCGTTGGCCTTAGAAAACAATTGTGTGGAGTCTTGTCACTTTCAGAACTGTCGACGAACTCTTAAGGGCGGTGTGGAGCCAATATGGGAGATATCTCTCCTCTATGAGATTTTCTGACGAACCCCCTCATTAAGGACGATGGTCTC